CTATTCTACAAGCCTAAAAAGAAATAAGTTGATTCGCATATGGGGTTGACTTGGAGTGGGGCGCAGGACGCGCTGTGATTGGTCAGAATCTACCAAGATTGCACGATTTTTATTTGACTTACAATGATTTATTTTGGAGGTTCCCGTAGCTTGATCTATCTCGGACTTTGACTGGACATGAATAGCCGGCTTATCTATATATAAGTCCAATTCCAGCCTGATCTATTATAGTTTGCACTCGTAGGAGCTGATCGAAAACGAGAACTGGTTTTGTTAGGGTTAAGCTGTAACTGCGCTGCGTCATCATATTAGCTTACTGTAACTCTAATTGCGGGACCGTTATAGGTCCGATCGACTATCCGATCGATTCAGGGGAAGTGCGACGGCCTACAAAGGAATCTGGTAAAAAACAAGTTTGTTTCTGACTCGTAGTCAAAGAATTTTCCCATAGAGAGGAAAGACTATCTAGGAAGGAGAATCCAGGGGCTCGATATACCGCCTAGGGATTTGCCTTAGGCAGAAATGCCTATAGGATCTCTAGGAACGTTCGTAAATGCCTACTGCAGGGAATCCCTTGATCCTATACTAACTAACCAGAGTGTTCCGGATGAACGTTTCTCCGTACAGCGAAGCTCCCTGGCTTCAGGAGATAACAGGAAGAGCCAAATATCGGATTTCTCCAGTAAAGATTTGGTTTTGCATATTACTAAATTACTTATCCGGTACTTTCCCCTTTCTATCTACACCCGATCCCCGGTAATCCAGGTATAATTGGCTCCATCGTTAGGGTTACGGTACTGGCCCACCAGGTTTATCATCAATCAGGCCAGTTTTTCAGCTATTATCATTGATCTAACCGGACTGTGACCTGCCTCCGAAGACCTTCCTTCGCGATACCCTATAACCTAACTGCCCGATTAGGACTAGTTTCAGAGCCGACCCACACATATTGTGACCAGCTCCTGAATAGTTTTATAATCTAGTTTAATTTCTCCATTGAATGCATACTCTACATTCTTGCAGTTTCTCATCGCCAGTGTAGCTGTTCGTTACACTATCAGCTATTCGCTACTATGGAACATCAGATTTTCAGCCGGCTAGCAACCTTGCCCATTATCATTTGCAAAACATGCCAGCACGGCGTGTGGCCACGGGAAGTCCAACGCCATTTGAAAAACGGAGCCCATCAGCTGGTTTCCCATCAGGAAACTGTCCAGATCAGCGAAGCCGTCCGACAGTGGCCCAATCTGACACATGAGCCCACCGAAATCGACTGGCCCAGGCAACTAGAGCAGTCCGTTCCTGGATTACCGATCTATACCGATGGATTATTATGCCAGCGGGATCCCGAGTGCCGATATGTAACCCGAAACCTCCAGACCATGCGGGAACATTGGCGCCGGATACATCAATGGTCCCCATATTCCGGCCGCGGCCGCGTTAGCCGTCTACAGCAGGAAGAGATCAATTGTCAACTAGCTCAATCATATATTTCAGTTACGTACCAGCGCATATTTCCTACCCGGCAGGGATCCCAGAACATTCCTATCATCAGCCAGGAGGAAATCCCATTCAGTACTCCCAACACGATCGATCAGGCGCTGCAGGAGGTCGAGACTGCATGGAGCGAGGCACAAGCCGCCCAGGCGCGGGAGACCATTCAGGCGTGCGAGATTACCGACGCGAACCCGTGGCTGCGTATGACCGGCTGGTCGGAATACCTGAAAGCCGTCGCCCCCCACGATTTAACCCGGGTAATTGCTCCGCCCGAGGACCCAACCGAGCCCGAGGACCCGATCGAACAGGGAGTCCGCCGGCTGTGGACCACAATGGAACAGCTGGTCCGTAAATGCCAGCGGACGGTCCGATACAGTAGTTTCGCTATCCGATTTACTGCGGTACAATCAGATGCCGGGGCTGCCCCGCCGCACCAGCCGCTGCAGGCATATATGGATGCAGACAGTATTGTTAAACACGTCCAGCCGTGGCAACAAATTCTCGCTTTTATTGCCCGTACCCAGGCCCCTCACGATTGGACCAGCCCGCCGTACGGGATGACCCCCCGGCAGCGCAAACGGTGGCGCCAGCTGTGGGCGCTAGCTGTACAGCCGTCGCAACCCAACAGCAATGAAGGTATCGAAGCCGAGGAGATAGACGAGATGGCAGCGTGGCAGATGAACCCACTGGAGCAGCGGTGTTTGCAATTTTGTATCGAGCTGCTAAACCAGAAGCAGCGGGGATACGAGTACGAAAGTGTACTCATCTGCGCCATGGCCGTCCAGGGCTGGAGTTTTGACCGCTGGCGGAATGCCGAGAGTTACCCGCCGATCTTGTCCCGCGTGATCAAGGTGGCTCGATTTATGGTGGTGCAAAAGGCACTGTGGCTGGACCCGGACCCGGAGACTATTATCCAGACATGGCTGCAAAAGGCAGACTGTACCCAATGGGCATTAGCCAGTGCCGATAATACGCTGGAAGATATCGAGTCCGATGACGGATATTCCAGCGAGGCCGAGGCAGACCGGCCACGATATCCTTCCAGATTCCTGTCCCCGTCATCCCCCCCCACATCGTCCGTGCGAATCAACAGCCAGGAGCTACAGCCGCTAGTTGCCACCCCCCGGACCCGCCGCACGGGCAAGTCGTTCCAGGAACAGTTAGCGTCCATGGTGCAGGCATTTATGGTACGGGGGACAGCCGGGCCCATGCAGACGCTGCTAGACTGGCGGACATACGGGCTCAAAATCCACTACAATACTACTGCCGCGGGACATATTACCTGGCACGGTAACGAAGAGATCGGATACCAGCACATCCAGTTTACCATGGGCGATTTCCGCGGCTTCGTGCATGGGCTAGTCGGGGCCACCCGGCAGAAACTGTATGATATCCTCGGTGTCAGCCAGACTCACGAGTTGCCGGTCATCCCGTGGCATGCCATGTACGACGATCCCACCCAGCGGACGGTAGGATGGAGCTTTTTAAAGGACGGGCGCACGCAGTGGCCGATAGACGGGCCGCAGTGGGTCCGGGACCGGCTGCGGACCGAGCCGGCTATGCAGGCCCGATTTACTGTCCGGCAGCGGCGGCAACAACTGCACCCCCCGGCCGTGGCACAGTACTTCCAGCAGGTAGTGCAGTTCAAAGAGAAGCTGGCCGTCCTAGTACAGGTAGTGGCCGGGCAGCCGGCTCGGGCCCCCGAGCTATTAAGTATCCAACATGTGAATACCACGACCAACCGGCAGCGCAATGTATTTATCGAGGACGGGCTGGTAGCAATGGTCAGTGCATATCACAAGGGGTTTTATGCCAGCAATGATATCAAAGTGATTAACCGGTATTTACCGCGGGAGGTCGGAGAGCTCGTGGTGTAGTATTTATGGTTAGCGCTACCATTCGTCCAGCAACTTAAGGCGTGGCAGGTATGGCACGAGTCACCGTCTACAGCCAGCCGGGCTTCCCCCAGCCGGGAGGATGCGTTTATCTGGGGACCCGATCCCGGGACGCGGCGTCAATGGTCATCCGAACGACTGCGTGAAACATTCAAACGCGAGACGAAGATGGCATTGCGCCACCCGATCAATATCCAGGCATACCGGGAGCTCGCTATCGGGATCAGCCGGCGGTTCATGCGGCCATCCAGCGCGTTTGTGCATAACCGCCAGGAGGAACAGGAGGTCGCGGTACAGGCACTTAACCCGGACGCTGAAGATGGAATGGATCCAGAGCAATGGATGGGCCATATTGCCGACCTGCAGGCAGCACACTCGTCCCACTTAGCCGGTACCGTATATGCGCGGGATATCATGGAGCAAGCTGGTACTACTGCTTACCGGCGGCAAATGTTTCGCTTGTCCAGTACGGACTGGCACCGATTTTTAGCATTTGAATCGGCCGTTATACCGCCCGCCGAAGTCCGTGGCCAGCGGACACGGTCCCCGTGGGAGGCCGAGGCCGAAGAAAACCAGGTAATGCGGCGCCACCGGCTGCATATTGCCGATATGGGCCAAGCACTGCGCGAGATGAGCGGTCAGGAGACAGCCGCATTGCGGGGAATCCAGGCCCCGGCCATCCGGGCCATCCAGGACGGGACGAGCCCGGTGGTAGCAGTTATGCGGACAGGAGGCGGTAAAAGTATGCTATTCATGCTGCCCGCGTTCGTAGAACCTGGGGGTACGACGATCGTGGTCGTCCCGCTGGTCGCACTGCGGCAGGACATGATGTCGCGATGCCGGGCACTAGGCATTCCATGTGTGGCGTGGGAGAGCCGGCGGCCGCCCGACGAGGCAACCATTGTACTGGTTACGCCCGAATCAGCTGTTACCGACGATTTCCAGACGTTCATTAACCGGCTGCGGCAGACACGGCGACTGGATCGGATCGTGATTGACGAGTGCCACACCGTATTAAATAACCAGCGCGATTTCCGGCCAGAATTGCGGCAATTAGGACAGTTGAATCACGCCCGCACGCAGATGGTATTATTGACGGCCACGTTACCGCCGCAGCTGGAGCCCACGTTATGGCAGCGAATGGGATACTCGGCGGACTCAGTGCATTTGTTCCGGGATCGCACCAGCCGGTCCAATGTCGCATACCGGATCTGGGAGCCCGACGTCCCGCGCCGGACTGGATCCGCGTGGGTAACCAGCGAGCCGGTAATAGCATTTATCCGGGAGCGAATTCAACAGGCACAGGATGGGCGGATCATAATATACGGGTCCGTAGTAAGCCAGGTCGTTGCCGTGGCGGGCGAGCTGGCATGTGAAGCATTTTACAGCGCGCAAATCGATAAAACCTCCATTTTACAGCGGTTCATCGAGGGCCCGAGCCGGGTGATCGTTGCCACCAGCGCACTGGGGATGGGGGTAGACATTCCCGATATCCGGAGTATCATTCACCTGGGCAGACCGCGGTCATTATTGGAGTACGCGCAGGAGAGCGGACGGGCCGGCCGGGATGGGCAAACCAGCGAGGCCATTATCATTCAGCCCGCCGGATGGGCCGCCCGGATGCCGGATGCATCGATCGATATGACCGGGACCGACCAGGAGCTGGTCGACCAGTACATGGAGGTTGAACCCGGGGTCGGATGCCGACGATATGTGTTAGACGGATACATGGATGAGACGATAGACGGGTACAGCCGGCGGTATTGCCAGGATTCCGACGTCCACGAGATCGCATGTGATGGATGTGACCCCGATTGGATGGCACATGAGTCCGTGGTCAGCGTATCCCCATCCCCCGGTCCATTCGCGAGCCAGGAAGCCAGCCAGGAGGCCAGCCAGGAGGTCAGCCAGGAGGTCAGCCATCAGGTCAGCCATCAGGTCAGCCATCAGGTCAGCCATCAGGTCAGCCATCAGGTCAGCCATCAGGTCAGCCAGGTCACAAGCTATTCCAACACTGGGTCCCCCAGCCCGTCCGCCAGTGAAGCATCCAGTGACTCGTTTGTCACCCAGGTCCAGCATCCATCGCCCATCCCGTCCGCAAGCCCCCCATCGGGTCCATCAGATCCCAATCAGCCCCCCCGTGCGAAACGCCGGCGGACCGACAGCATCGAGCCCCCGCCCCCCACCGAGCCGCCCACGGTAGATATCGTCGAGCGCCAGCGCCAGCGGGTGCAGGCCCAGCGCCAGGCCGCCCCGCACGTCACCCGCCAGGCCATCGACGCGCAGCAGTGGCTGGATGAGGAGATCATCGAGCGGGAGGTGCCCCCGTGGCAGCGGCGGTGTTACATATGCACGCTAGGGGGGCACGATCGGTACGAACACGAGCTGTATTTTTGCCGCAATCCGGAGGCCACACGGGCCCAGGCGTGGATGCAGGCCGTCCGCAGCCAGCGGATCCGATATGCCCCGTATTCGGCGTGTTTCCGCTGTGGGATGCCGCAGACCATTTGCCGCCAGTGGGACCAGAGCGTACCCCGGCGGGGAGATTGCGTGTATAAGGATATATTGGTTCCCATGACGGCAATGATGTTGTTTGGACCGTGGTACGACCAGATCCAGCCGTTGTGGCAGCGGCGCTTACGGCAACACGAGGTAGATAGCGAAGATATCGGGCAGGTTGTACGGTTTTTCGGGCAGGCCACCGACGGAGCCCGGGGGCAACACAGCCAGTTGTTCCATACATTTTGTTGGTTGTGGCAGATTTGCAAGGAATTGGAGGGCATCCACTGTACACCCGGAATCCGGCAGTTTATCAGTTAGTGAATACATTTGATAATGCCATATGGATATTGATTTTGATCCCCATGATAGCGAGCATGGCATTTGGTCCCAAGCACAGGGAATCCAGGGCTTATGGCAGCAACGACTGCAGCAGGCCGGGGTTAATCACCAGGATGAAGCCGCCATCATTACATTTTAGGGCAGGCGGAATCAGAAAGCCGGCCATAGAAGAAATAAACCCGAACATGTCCACAAAGCAGGGAGAAACCAAAAATAAAGCCGGAGTAGATCCCGAATAATACTATCAAGCAGGCCCGTTAGCCGATAAATAGGTAGATCGGGAGACAGACCAAAACCAGATTGGTCAGTAGATCGGCAAATAGGCAGATAAATAAACAGCCGGATAAGCAGACAGGCCAGAAAACAGGTAGATAGGTAGGAAGACCCAGGAATTGGCCAGATAGCAAAGAGACAGGCAGACCGGAAAACAGACGATAGAACAGATCAGTTAGTAGATAAGCAGATAAACAGGGAAGCCAGTTAGCAGATAGATAGACGAAATATAAAACAGGCTGCCAAGTAAATCGGTAGGCCGGAAAACGAGCCGGTAGGTAGGCGGCCATCAAGGTAACCGGTTAGCAGATAAACAGGGAGACCGGAAACCAGACAGAACGGATCAGTTAGGTAGGCAGGCGGATTTTTAAGTAGGCTACTAGGTAGATAGGCAGGCCGGTAGGCGGGCGGGTAGATAGACAGCCATAAAGCTAACCGATTAGCAGATAGGCAGGCAGACCGGAAAGCAGACATAGAACAGATCAATTAGTAGGTAGACAGGCGGACAGGTAGGCCGGTAGATAGGTAAGCAGGCCGACAGGCCGATAGATAAGCAGTATTTGTAGGATAGATAAGATTGGAAGATACATAGGATACATAGGATATGTAGGATTTGTAGGATTTTTAGGATTGTCGGGCAGATAGGAATGTAGGATTTAGGATAGAAATGATTGTAGGATTTGTAGGATTTGTAGGATTGTCGGATAGATAGGGTTGTCAGATAGATAGGGTTATCGGGTAAATAGGATTTAGGATACATAGGATATATAGGATTTATAGGATTGTCAGATAGATAGGGTTGTCGGGTAGATTAGATTATCGGGTAGATACGATTGTAGAATACGTAGGATTTATAGGATTTGTAGGATTTGTAAGATTTGTAAGATTTGTAAGATTTGTA